AAAGCAGGGTGCAGGGTGCCACTCACATAGACTATTGATGACATTTTCTGAAATGATACACTGTGGAGGCTCTGACCTCAAGAGCATCCAGTGGTCCCTATCACAGTCCCAAATACAGATCAATAGATGGTCCATCTGGTGCTATACTGGTGAGACTTTATGTGATCAACCCTGAATGTAGGCTGGGCAGGGAAGGAAAGAGGCCAAAAGGGGCTGTAAGACTAGGAGAAAAAATGGGGGGAAGGGGGTTGAGGGACTAAAGACCTCTGGGAGGTCCGAGAATAGCGGCAGTGACAGTGAGGGAGCAGGAAGAGCACTGCCCTCTTCCTCAAGCTGTAATCTCTTCTAGGTTTCAACGCGCTTAGACACACAAGCCCTTGCCATTGCGTTGCAGTTGCCTAGAGTTCAGGGCAGTGGCCTAGAGTTCAGGGCCAGTGGCAGTCTGTAAGGTTCGTAGCCCAGGGGCAGCAGGCTGTGTCACACAGCCCAGGAGTGTGTGCGTGCTCCCTATGGTGTTCACAGCACAATGCCCTCACCTGGCAGCGTGTTTCTCAGAACACATCCCTGCACTTAATCTCGTCCAGCTTGTTTGCTCCTCTGTAAAATACCCACCTCCCAGGGGGTGGTGAGGATTCAACAAGACAACCTGGGCAAAGCCCGTGCCAGGAGCCAGCACTAGGTCAGAGCTTGGCAAATACTGATTTCCTCCCCTCCCCTTTCACTTGGGCTTCAGATTTCCTGAGCTTATCTGCAAAGCTGTTCTGACCAAACAAGCAACTATAATTTGAAAGACAGAGTACGTGGCCACAGGTCAGTACACAGAAGGCAGAGGAAAGGGAACGTGCTGCCCAGGGCTCCACCTGGAATTGCAAGGGGCTCACTCTGCTACCCCTTTAAGCCACCTCCCTGGAACCTGCTCTCCTAAGATTTTTAAGTTAGGTCTGCTTTGGGAGGCCCACTTCCAACACCTTTGCTTCCCTTTGGGTCTGGCATCAATCCCCACCTCACCATTGGCCTATGCTCTCAAACCCGCCACTCTATGGCCTTTCTGAGTCTGGGGGCCATGCTGGGCTTGGCTCAAAGGGCTCAGTGGATCTTTGTGGACTTCCAGCATGGCCTTCCCACTCCACAGACCCTGCTGTGACCCGCCCAGTGGCCTAACCACATTTGACTTGTGGAATTCCCTGGAAAAGTTCTATGCCTTTCCTTTGCCTAAATGCCCTTCTCTCCTGCCTGTCCACTGTCTCACTCCTCAGGACTCTTCTCAAAAGCCATTTCATGTAAAAAACTTTCAGATTCCAACAGAGAGAACTTTCCTTCACTCCCACTCCTCAAATCCTTTTGATTGTGAAATGCAGTTTTTTTTTTTAAGTTTTTATCTTAGCAGCTATCAACAGAATTCTTCTTAAAAAGGTATTTAATATCTATGTTTTGGAAAAATATGTTAATAAGCTTGCTGACCTGGGTTTCCTAGGCATTTCAAACTATAGTCATAAAGATAATGTATCTTGGCTTGGCGCCTGTAGCTCAAGCGGCTAAGGCACAAGCCACATACACCTAAGGTGGCGGGTTCGAATCCCCAGCCCGGGCCCGCCAAAAAACAATGATGGCTGCAAAAAAAAAAAATAGCCAGGCTTTGTGGTGGGCGTGTGGGCCCAGCTACTTGGGAGGCTGAGGCAGGAGACTCCCTTGAGCCCAGGAGTTGGAGGTTGCTGTGAGCTGTGATGCTACGGCACTCTACCCAGGGGGGTAGTGTGAGGTTCTGTCTCGAAAAGAAAAGAAATATGCCCCCTCTGTTGACAGGACTTCTCTGTTGTTAAATCCGGCTGTCTCCCACTGCAAAATGAGGCAAGTCCTAGTTGACTGTGGAAATCTGTATTTTTGATGAGGGCCTCAGTTAGCAAATTTTATTTTCGTATAAAGGTAACAGTTTTCTCTGAAGCATCTTTAAAGACAGTGTTCCAATTATTCATTCTTTCATTCATCGAATATCTAGTGGGCTCGTGCAGCATGCAAGACAATATTGTTCTTGATCAATGCTTTCGATTTTTATTGACAGCATTATCTATTATTTTTAACTAAAAAATCTTTCTTAATAAAAATTTTTTTTCCTTGATGATGCTTACACAGCACTTAACATCCTTAAAATATGAAGGATGCAGCCTTTAAAATAT